AGCAGCGGGCAGTCAGGAGAGGTCTGCCGCGCCATGTGGTCGCCTCCGGGGCAGGCGGGAATCGAACTGATGCGGAAGCGGCTTTAGCTTTTTAGTGCAGTGCTTTAACCCGCTGTGCCACCAGGGAGGGCCGGGATTACACTTTTAGAAATAATATTTTAAAAGGAGGAAAGAAAAGAGCCAAAATCTTCCTAGGTACTCAGACTTTAAAGCAGTTTGGCTCCCTGCCCAGTCAGTCTCCACAAATTGACAGGTCCTTGCTTTTGCAGTCCTTACATGGTCTTCCTCCACTGCTAAAGGTGTGATTCAGGCTCCTCATTAACTGTGTTGCACAGAATCACTGGGTGATCCAACCTCAGAGATTATAGCCCTGGGCAATCCCCACTCTGGCTTTGTCTGCCTGTGAGGAAAGGAAACCTTAGTACTTGTTGCTGAGGTGTAGCAGGGCCCTCTTGGTGCTGCCCACCTTGGAGGTGTTCAGCACCCTGAATTGCAGCAGCTTATAATGATGCAGCCATGTGGTCAGTCTGGGATTCTGTGTCCAGATCCTCAGCTTCTGTAAGAGGGCCTCAGGGTCACCAGTCTCTCAGGGTGACCAAGAGGTCTCCTTGCTGTTGGGGCCACATCTCATACTGACACTCACGAGGGCCACCATTGTAGTTTCTTTAATGGCACAACAGTCAGTTGTCTCTTGCTTAGTTCCAAATTGTTGTTCAGGTCAATTGGCCTTGTGGGGGGGAGTCTTAGTAAAAACACCCACCCACATCACCATCAGTGATTTATAACTGAGCCTTTTTTTCTGCCTTGTTGCTGGCAAAAACTCAGCCATTCTCTCTATGACAAAACTAGAATCTCTATCGATTTCTGGTTTTTCCTTTATAGGCTGACACTACTTTACTCCACCACCATCTTCCTGGCCAGAGAGGCCTTCCGTAGAGCATGTCTGAGTGGAAGTGTCCAGCGAGACTGGAGTCAAACCCTCAATCTCCTTTGGCTCAGGTGAGTTGTGCTTTTTTAGGAGACAGTTGATCAAAGGCCACTGTAGTAAGTGTTACAAATGAAATGGCAACTCGGGCCTACAGCTCAGTTCTTCAGCTTTGGTTTTGCAGTGGGTTTCTGAGGTTTTGGCTTGGGGCAGGAAGGGAGAGCTTCTGTACAGAAGGAGCTCCTTGGCTAATTTTCCTTCTGGATGATGGGAGCTGGCAGGAGGGTTCAGGTAGGGGGTTTTGAGCCAGTTTCTAGTCCTATTTTATCCTCTTTGGAGACTGTTTCTGCTGTTCCTGGTAACCACGCTGGCCTCCACAGGGACTGTGCCATCTTTTTATTCCTAATATTCCCCCCTGTAGTATTTTCTGTGCTTTTAACAACCACTAAGTCTTAGTATTTTTTGAAAGCCTTTTAGGGGCTTCATTATGTATTTCTTCAGTTTTGTTACGTTGATTTCAGTTCTGAACCTTTTAGAATATTCTTGAAGACTGAGTACATCAGCTAAAAATTATAATGGCTTTTCTGCAATTAGATTCCTGCAGGGAGCTGGTGGTTGAGGTTGTTTCCCAATGCTGTCTTTGCATAACTCCTTATTGCCTTGTGGAAATGACTGTCATAGGAGCTGGTAGGTGTTCATTTTACTAGAGGAATGACTAACAACCATCATTTACTTCTTTATGGCACACATATGAAGGGATACTGTGTGCTGGATTATTGGTTATTTGGGGTGCAAGAACCAGCTGTGTACAATCTTTCAGTCATTCTAAGTATAGACAACAGGCACACTCTTTCTGGAATCTGTTTATCAAGTCAGTCAGTATAACACAGTGGCTAGGAATGTAGGCTTTAGAGTTAGAGCAGGAATTGTCCTGTTTCTGCCCTTTATTAATGTTCATGATCTTGGTCAAATTACCCAGTACCTGTCAGCCTTAGTTTCCTCATCTTTTAAATGGGGATAATGATGGATGGAGGATCATTGTGAGGGTCATTAAGATAAAGGGGTGAACCATAGTTCCTGGCCTTAATAAGTAAATGTCTTAATAAATGATAGCAATTTTTTAAAAAATAATATAACAGTTTATTTTTACATCATTTTGTACTTTTTTTTTTCATCTCAATTGTAATCCCCATGGGTTTTCCATCACTGAGTCACCTGTGTGCCATGCACTTCCCTACCCCCCCCCCCATTTTTGATCCCATCCCCTACTCCACCCCCACAAAATGTCTCTGGTATATGGCTGTTCATTATTATTATTATTTTCTCGCCTGGTCCATTATACTCCTGGATAGCAATTTTTATTATGATTCTGTTTTGTTACCATTTTAACATTTAACATTTAGCATGTTAAAAAAAAACTTTTTTGTTTGTTTGTTTTGTTTTGTTTTCACTTTTCTAGTGTCCCCCTGGGTGTGTTTTGGTCCTTTTTCCTGGGCTGGGTCTGGTTACAGTTTCTCGAGGTGCCGAATCCTGATGTCATCCCCCACTATGGAACTGGAGTGGTGCTGTTTGGTCTCTCGGCAGTGGTGGAACTTCTGGGAGAGCCTTTCTGGGTTTTGGCACAAGCACACATGTTTGTCAAACTGAAGGTCAGTTTCCCTTCTGCCTCTGAATGGGAAATGGGAAGAATAGGGGAAATAGTGTTGTGGCTTTTTTTTTTCCCAAGAAGAGAATAGATTTTCAGGCCTACATCTAAAAAGATATTTGGAAAGAGGCAACATGGTCAGTTTAGTTCATTTACTTAAGATTTGTCAGATGGATTGGGCAAAGTTTACTTCTGCTGTTCTGTTATCATTATTGTTATTATTTTAAATATTTATTTATGCATGCAGAACTGGGGTACAAGCCAGAGGTGCAGGGGTGGTGAGAAGCTTCACAAGAGACAGAGTGGGGAGCAGAACAGGCAGAACGAAGTACACTGCTGAGGGGAGCAGCGGGCAGGCCAGGAGGGGACTGCCACACCATGTGGATCACCTCTGGGGTGGGGTATGGAACTCTCACTGAGTCGGCTGCTGTGGCTAGCTTGCAGTGCTGCTTCCTAACTCATTGCACCACCAGGGAGGGCCCTCTGCTGTTCTATTAATGAAAAAGTTTTGCTAATCTGGAAATTGTTTATAATAATTTAAGAGGATTGCTTTTTCTGACCTTTCTAATGATCTGTCTAATGATCTATTTCATGGTATGCTGATGACTTTTCATCTTTTAAAATACATAATTTGATATATGCAAACAAACAAGTGTAAATAACATCTGCATAAACAGCATGATAATAGACTGAAGATCAAAGAACCTTCTACCCAACCCAAGTCAACTTCACTATGTCCAAACACGTGCCTCACCCCCACCTCACCTCTGGGTAACCCCTCTCTATTTGTCATTCCTTGGCATCTTTAGTTTTTAGCAGTTTTTTTTTTAAAGATTTATTTATTTGTGCATACAGAACTGGGCTGCAGGCCAGAGGCTCAGGGGCGGTGAGAGGCTTCACCAGAGACAGAGTGGGGAGCAGAACAGGCAGATTGAGGAAGCGCACTGCTGGGGGGAGCAGCGGGCGGGTCAGGAGAGGTCTGCCATGCCATGTGGTCACCTCTGGGGCAGGTGGGAATCGAACTCATGCAGAAGCGGCTTTAGATTCTCAGTGCTGTGCTTTAACCTGCTGCACCACCAGGGAGGGCCAGTTTTTAGCAATGTTTTTAAAGTGTGTTCTTCACCACATGTTTGCAGGTGGTTGCTGAGAGCTTGTCAGTGATCCTCAAGAGTTTGCTGACAGCTCTTCTTGTGCTGTGGTTGCCTCACTGGGGACTATACATTTTCTCTTTGGCCCAGGTCAGTTATTGCTTTTAACTTTCATATAATCTGTTTTTCCACCTGGTCTCTGTTTTTCCACCTGGTCTCTCTTCTGGTCCCTATTACTACCTGATTTACATTTATGGTATCTCTCATGCAGGATAGACTAGAAGCTCTAGAAAGATGATCTTGGCCATGCTCTCTGCTGGCTGCCTTGTCCATCCTGCTCCATGCCCTTTGCTGTCTCCACAGGTGACCTTGCTGAGGGCCATGTCTCAGTCTCATTGTCAGACATAAAAACTCTTTTAGACATTCTGTGGGCAAGGCCTTATCAGACTGATCTTTGATTGTCCAATAGTCTTACGGAGAAGAAATAAAAGGCAGTGAAGGAGTAGGGTGGAATTCAAGTTGCATGTGTGTTATTTTCCTGTGATTTCAATTAGTTGTATCAGAATAGGAGGAAACTCTGCCAGGCCTGTTTTAAACATAGATTAAAATTTCACATAATTCAGAGGGCATGGATAGAGTTTTTTTCAGGTACAATTTCAGTTTTGGCAGTTTTGACTTCATTCCCATTTTTCATTTCTTCTTAGTTCCAGTTCATATTTCTAGTTCTAATAAAAATATAACTAGCATACAAATGCTAATTTTAAAAACAAAATCTAAGAGCAGATAATTACCAAAATATCTTAAAATACAATGTGGTTCTAATTGTTCTTAATGTAAAAGAAGACAGCTTAAAATTTTTAGTAATAAGTTATGTGAAAATCTTTCCTGTGTCCCAGGGAAAAACTTCAAATATTTTTGTGAAATACAAAAGCTAGATTTAAAATTACAGAATAAAGCAGTTTAGGAAAGTTATTTGCTAATTGTTTTTGCCATGTTTTTTAGATCTGGAATTATAGTTCTCAGCATTCAGTGGTTTTTTTTTTTTAAAGATTTATTTATTTGTGCATATAGAACTGGAGTACAGGCCAGAGGTACAGGGCCGATGAGAGGATTCACCAGAGACAGAGTGGGGAGCAGAACAGGCAGAACGAAGTACACTGCTGAGGGGAGCGGGGGGGGGGGGGCGGTCAGGAGAGGCCTGCCATGCCCTGTGGGTCACCTCTGGGGCAGGCAGGATCGAACTCCTGCTCTAGTGGCTTTAGCTTCTTAGTCCTGTGCTTTAACCCGCTGTGCCACAGGGAGGGCCCAGCATTCAGTGTTTTTGATGCACTCTTCCTTAAAGGACACAAGGACCACAGAGACACCAGTTATTGGTTGTCTCTTCCTGGAAAAGGCACTTGCAGTATGCCTTTCTGATTATTATTGTTCCAACTCTGGATATGTCATATGGCATGGGCCAGCAGGGGCAGTTCTGACTTTATTTGCTTCATTATCATAAGACTTCTGAGAGGATTCCTCTCTGGTACATTCTCTGTTTGTGTAAGAGGACTCAGAGCTAACAGCACCTTTTAATAGAAGGTGAGCCCCACCCAAGGCCCTGGGGTTCCCCTTTGTCCAGCATCCCTCCAGGGTCACAGCATCATTTGTCAAAGGATCACTCTAGAATATACAAAGAACTCTTAAATTTCAACAACAGAAAGATAAACCAACCAAGTAAACAATAAGTAAGTATCCTGAATAGATGGTTCTCCAAAGAAGATATGCAGATAAATGGTCAATAAGTATGAGAAAATCTGCTGAACATTCATTAGTTTCTAGACAAATGTAGACTAGAACCATAATGAAGTATTGCTGCTACTCATCAAAATGACCATCATTATCAAAAATAGAGAAATAACAAATATTAACAAGGATATGGAGAAATTATGCCCCTCTACATTGCTGCTAGGAATGATGTCAAATTGTGTAGCCCTATGTAAGACACTTACAGTCCTTAGGAATTTAAACATAGAACTACCATAGCTTCCAGTGGTTCTACTCCTAGGTATATAACCAAAAGAATTGAAAATAGGCATTCAAACAAAAACTTGTATATGGATGTTCATCCTAACACTATTTACAATAGCCAAAAAGCAGAAACAACCTAAAATCCATCAACTGATGAATAGATAAATTGTGTAGTATAGCTGTACAATAGAATATTACCCAGCCATAAAATGAAATACCATGATGTGAGACAACACAGGTGAACTTTGAAAATGTTATACTAAATGAAAGAAACCAGATACTGAACACCATGCATTGTATGATTCCATAAATATGTAAAATCAGAACAAGTAGGTCCATAGAGACCCAAAGCAGATTACTGGTTGCTAGGGAATGGAGAGTGACTGCTTAATGGATATAGTTTCCTTTTGGAATGGTGGAAAATGTTTTGGAATCAAAAGCAGAGGAGGTGTTTGTACAACGTTGTGAATACACTAAAAACTATTGAGTTCTAATACACTAAAAACTATTGAGTTGCTTGCTTTAAAATGGTTTAATTTGTCAGTGTTACCTTAGTGAACCAAGTATTAGGGTACTTTGTCTGAAGACTACCCAAAGGGTATTAACATTTCCCCAGGCTCTGGTGACTGAGAAAATGAAAAGAGGTGGAGAAGGGGGGTTGCTGGGGGTACTTGTCACTGAGGATGTTGGCCTCAAGTGGTGTGACTCACCAGTTTGAGGCAGGAAAGAAGAAAGATGTGGACAGTAGACTCTGTCCCCAGGCATGCATGGGTGTGGAGAGCAGAGGAGGGAGCCCAAGCCTGCCCCACTGACAGTCTCCTTACTCCTTGTTCTGTGCCTTTACTTTGGGAACAACTGGCTGTTTCCAGGTTGAGGGTTGGAGGTCCTGTTCTTGAAATTGTGTGCTCTCCTGTTCCTCAGGGGAAAGATGGTGGAAGGGAGTTTGTGAGCAGGGGCTCTTTGAATTCGCCTCTTCATCCCGCACACAAACCCCCAGACTGCTGCTCTTGGCCAGAAGCCATTCTTTTGTTGCAGAGTGGTGGAGGGAGGGGTCCTCATATCATCACTCCTCTTCCCCCTCTATCCTGCAGTAACTCTTGCCCTGTCCTGTACTGACGAGAGAGGAGGGAGCCAGCAGTTCAATTCTGCTTTGTAATCATAAGGTCCCAGGTTTCCAGGGTTTATGGAGAATTCCCAGTCCTAGATGGCAACACGTCCCTGGAAGTTAGATTAGTCCAGCAGGGATACATGGGTTCGCACAGGGTGCTGTCTAGGTGGGAAGTCAATCCTTTGGCTAAATGTGAATCTCTTGAGATCCTATCTGACACTTTGGTGGTGATTATACTAATAAATGTCTGTCAAGGAAATTCTGTTCTGCCTGCCCTGAAGAACTTCTGTTCTCCCAGTCAGAGGAAGTGTGTAGAATACTTTCCCCAGAGATGCTACAGTGGAGCTGGCCTTAGGGGGTGCTGCTGTTTTCCAGTGGGTGAGGTATTGCTCAATAGGAGGTGCAGTTAATTAAAACAGTTCTATTTCTTGATTGGCCTTAGAGGTCAAATTTATAGGCAAGTATTAATTATGCCTATATTCAAGCAGTGTAATTAACCATACAACCCAGCAATTCCACTACTAGCAATCTACCGAGAGAACACTAATTTAAAAGGAAACCTGCACTTCTATGTTTATTGCAGCACTGTTTGCAATAATCAAGATATGGAAACAACCTAAATGCCCTCCAGACAGCTGAGTGGATCGAGAAGAGGTACTTTCTTCTCTTGCTCTCTCTTCCCCTTTATATCTAAAATAAATTAAAAAAAAAAAAGAAGATATGGTATATATACAATGGAAGGCTGCTCAGTGTTCAAAAAACTAAACATGCTATTTGGGATAACATGAATGGAGCTGGACAGGAATATGCTAAGTGAAATAAGTCAGAAAGATAAAGAGAAATAGTGGATAGTTTCATTTATATGTGGAATAGAGAGAAACCTAACAAAGGGTCAGACAATGACCCACCCTTGAAAACTGACCATAGATCAGAAAGAATGAGAGGGCTGAGGAGAGCATGGTGGATGATGGTGGAGGACTGTGGGTGCAGTGGTGGGAGAGCTATGGTGACTACACATGAAGGGAAAAATCCTACAATGTCAAAGAATTAACAAGGATGTAAAGCAGTAGGGCTTTAATTTTTAAAAAAGCCTAACTTCAAATCAATATTTTCTTTTTTCAGCTTTTCTATACTGCAGTTCTTGTGCTTTGCTATGTTATTTATTTCACAAAGTTACTGGGCTCTTCACAGTCAACCAAGCAAAAAACTCTTCTTGTCTCCAGAATGACAGATCTGTTACCCAGTGTTACAAGAGGTAGAGTAAGTAATGCATTTTCTCTCTCATCACTTTAATCACAAACGCTGGTTATCTTTGGGTGAAGAGTTATGGCTTTATTGTTTACTGTTGTAATAGTAAAGATAATTGGATCGCTTACATTTACTGAGTACTTGCTGGGTGCCCGACCAGTGTTTCTACATCTTGGCACTACTGATACCCGGAACTGGATAACTCTTGTTGTGGGGCTGCCCTGGGCATTACAGGTTGTTTAGTAGAATTCTTAGCTTAATCTATTGGATGCCACTTCTAGTTGTGACAACCAAGAATGTCTCGACACTGCCAAATGTCCCTGTGGAAGGGAGAGGGGCAAAATCCCTCCAGTTCAGAACTGTGCTAGGCCCAAAGGCTTTACTTAATGCTTATGACAACTCTGTGAGGCTGACCATCTCGTGATTTCAGTTTTAGCATTGAGGAAGAGGTTTAGGGACTAAATACCTGCCCCTGGTGAGGGACAGAGTTAGAACAGGCTCCTTGAGTGTCTTAAATCCCAGTAGAGTACAGGCTGCAACCACTATGCTCTTCTCTTGATTCTGCAGTGTCTCTTGGTTTCCCCAGGACAGACCTCTAAGGCAGGCAGTCCAGGGGGCTGACAGAGCAGGGACCCTGGGTGGCGCCTTGATGTGATGTCAGGCCCGACTTTCAGGAGACCCACTTTCCATCGAGACCTCTGAAGACTCGGAATGCTGATGTGTGGAGTGAGGCATAATCTTTTTCTGCTTACTCCGCAACGTCAGTGACTTTTATTTCCTGGCTCTTGTTGGGTCAAGGCCACATGGGGTCATGGGCTCTGGAGTCGCGCTCATATGCCATGGTGCCTGTCACACACTTAGGGAACTGCTCCCTTGGGTGCTGACCTGCTTTCCCTTTGCTCAGACTTGCTTGCTGGCTGGATGTGGTGCACTTGCGTGAGGTAAGGCTTCGGTTGGACTCATTAAAATGACTTATCATTATCAAAAATACAGAAATAACAAATACTAGCAAGGATATGGAGAAATTATGCCCCTACACATTGCTGCTAGGAAGGTCAAATTGTGTAGCCCTATGTAAGACGCTTACATTCCTTAGGAATTTAAACATAGAACTGCCATAGCTTCCAGGAGTTCTACACTTCTTTGCTACCACTTGGCAGATGCCTCAGAGAAAAAAAACAATCTCTGATCTGATTTCCTGCCTCTATTTCCTTAATAAACATTTTAAAGATATGAAGCAGTGAGGCTATTCCTTCTGAATCAGAGGTCCATTTGAATGAAAGGCATTAGGAGAAAGGAATCCTAATTTAGATCAGATTTACTATCATGATTTCATTTTTCTAAAATTTTTTTAAAGAGCTCACTCGTCTTCCCAAATCCATTCACAGCCCACACACGAGTAGGCTTTAGAAGAACCTCATGTAGCAAACTGTGACTGTTATCTTTGAAAAGAGCCATTCCCGATGCCTCCGCCCCCAAAAGCTGGCATGGGGCGGGGAGGGACTTAGTGTGAAATAGTGCGCCTGTGCTCACAGCTCCCCTCCAGGGCAGAAAGGCGTCCTGGCATGATGTGGTTCCCAGTGCCCCCTAGCGGTATTAGGTTGTCTAGCAGCATGTTAAGGAAGACTCAGCCCCGGCCTAGAGCTTCCCATTGGCATCTGTTCCAGGTCCAGTGGTGTCCTGAAGGCAGTGTAGTTTGGCAATACCCAAGCCTGTCCTTACTGTGTCTAGAAGAATGATTCTGAGATGAAGGCATGAGTGCCCTTGGTATCAAGGGGTGCTCTAGATTTGCCCTGTGTTAAACAGTAGCTAGCAACCACATGTGGCTGGACAACATTTGAAATATGAGCTGTAACTGCTTAATACACACTGGGTTTCAAGGATTTAATATGGAGAAATAATGTGAAATGCCTCTAATATTTTTTACGTTGATGACATGGTGAAATGATAATACTTTGGGTTAAATGAAAAGTACTAAAATTAATTTTACCTATTTTTACTCTTCACTGCTAGAAATATATGTAGCTTGCATTCTTTTTCTCCTGGATAGCATTGTTCTACAGGATCAGCGTTGGGCACTCATAACTGGGGCCTGCCCTTGAGCCAGCTTCCACAGCTAAAACTGACCTTTTGCAGAAAAAGTGGATGCGGCCTTCCTGCTTTACCCCTTTCCTCTCAAGTGCTTTTGAAATCCCACCTTTCAAATGCATCTCTTTTTCATTTATCAGAACTTTTCAACCTGAAACTAACTCCTAGATTGAACATCCTTAATATTCTCCACAGAGGAGGTCTCTGGGAATGATTTGGGGGAGGTAGAAAAGAAGTCACATCCAGCCAACTGCCATGCTCTTCCATTTTGCGTTTAACTTGCTGACTCTCAAGCTCTGTTACAGACTGATCTCTGCCTCAGCGTTTGCTTCCCTCTTGCCCTCCTTGCCCTTAGGAAACAGGCAGTTTGTGTATTTACAAATAAATAATTCTTAAAAAAAAAAAAAAGGAAATAGGCAGTTTCCAAACCCCTTAGGAGTTTTGGAAGAACTGTATCAAATTTTTTTTTTCTCCTTCTTATATCAGTTCTGAGTTTCACTAACCTGGAATGGAGGACTTTTCTTTCTTTCTTTTCTTTTTATATACAAGCAAGGTGTGTACATACAGCATTTGCACATACAGCATTTGCACAATGACGGAATATGGCATTGAGAGAGTCCATGAAGCAGGTTTTGTTGTACAGTCTAGAATGCTTAAGATAATTTTTAAGGAAAGAACTGACTGCTAGCTGTCTGTGTTAGATGTGGTCAGCTACCTGTCCCAGCTACCTCTGGGCAGCACAGTTCTTTAGGGGTCTTAGTGAATGAAGCTTGGGCAGGCCCTTTACAGAGATGCCCTTCCACCTAGAGCCTTTGTATTCGTGTTTAGGAATGTAGATTCTTTGCCAGTACTTGTCGTCTTCTGTACTTAACATTAAATGAAAAATTACACAGTGCTATCCAAGTTGATATTTAGGAACTAAAATGAGTTTGCCTCTTATGTAGCATTACTGTATTCTTAGACTTGCTGTGACTGGGAGTTTTTGTTTTGTTTTCTAGGCTTTTGTAAATTGGAAAGAAGCTAAATTAACTTGGAGTTTTTTCAAACAATCTTTCTTGAAACAGATTCTGACAGAAGGTAAGTAAAAGGTCACTCAGCTGTGAGAAAACTGTAGTATAAGGCAAGCAAGTGTAGTCAGAATGGCCTGTTACCTAGATCCAGGCTACCTTTTGTCTCGAGGCTCTGGGCAGAGGACCTCAGCAATGCGAGCTTTTTTTGGTAAGTACAGGAAAGCTTTTTTTATAAGGACTTAGCTTGCTGCTTTATTTAAATAGTCTAATTTAAATCTCTCCAAAGCCTTCTAAGAAAAACATTGTCTCAGAGAAAACTGTGGGTCAATGAGGTTATATAACTTCTGCAGGATCCTACACTTGTCTGAATCCAAGATTAACCCAAAAAACTCCCAAGTTATGTATATCATTTAATGAAATGTATTATAAAAGTATTCTGTTGGTTACAGAGAATTTGGAAAAGGGAAAGCTATTCATACTCGTTATCATGTGCTAAATTTTTCTATATAATTTCTTTTTGTTGTCCTTTCCTGTTTTTATTATATATATATTTATATGGGTGGTGTTTTTTTTCCCAAAGATTTATTTATTGATGCATACAGAACAGGGGTACAGGCCAGAGGTGCAGGGGCCATAAGAGGATTCACCAGAGACAGAGCAGGGAGCAGAACAGGCAGATTGATGAAGTACACTGCTGAGGGGAGCAGTGGGTGAGACAGAAGAGGTCTGCTGCACCATGTGGGTCACCACCCTGGCGGGGGATTAAATTCGTGCTGAAGCAGCTGCGGCTAGTTTTGTAGTGCTGCACTTTAACCTGTTGCACCACCAAGAAGGGCCCTTTTTAACTTTTTCTAAGAGCCATGTTTTCATCCTTTTTTCCCCTTAAACCAATAAGATTCAACTTCTTTAAATAATTTTATTGAAGTAGCATTGACTTACATAGGTTTCAGGGATATAGATTAGAATTCGCCATCTAGCCTAAACTCCTTAGGTCCTTTCATCAGTGACAGAGGTCTTGATGCAGAGTCAGCAAAGAGCTGAAAGTCCATCATGTTTTTCTATGAATATGTGCTAGTTTCTTCATACCCAGCTTTAGTTCAAAGAATGAGATTTGAGGCTGCTGTAAGCTGCTAAAGGTAGTAGCTTTTTTCTGTATGTAATTTTATTATGTCTATACTATAGACATACTATTACTGAACACATTTTAATATCTTTTCAGATAAAATTATTCAGATAATTTTTCAGAATTATCTTTTAACTATAAAAATAATAGAATCCCAAATAAATTAAAAAAATAGAATCTATTACAAAGTTTTGGAAACTAGAAAAAAGTTCCAATTCCAGCCTTATAATACAACCATCATTGTTGTTATCCTGTTATTTTTCTTTCCACTCCTGCCCCCATCTATATTTTAATTCCCCCTGTGCCTCTCTGTTCCCATCTATGAGTTGAAGGATGGGACCAACAGGCATCTGAAGGCTGTGAGCTTTGAGAGTATGTCTTTCTAACCTGGTCATATGGCCATTAAAAAAGTGGAACTGTTCACAGGAGAAGTAAGGACAGAGCTTTTGGAGAGACAGTAAAGGTGCCTCAACTATAAGGTCTTGAGAGCAGAGAGTGTCCACAGCACCCAGCCAAGCCTGGAGCATAATAGGTATTTAGCAAGTCTTTGTTAATAAAGAAAGGTAGCTGTGGTGAAATTGTATATTGTGCGAGTTCATGTTATTATTAGAACAGGAAAAGCAATAGGGGTTGTTTTGGAAAGATAGATTGCTTATGTGTACTTTTTTCCCTCAAGTTTTGAAAGCAGTTCAAATGAGACTACGGTTCCATTCTACAGTGTGGGCTTAAGCTGCAGTTAACTGGGTGTGAGTTAGGCTGTACTCAGGTCTCTCCTAAGATCTGTCTGCTTGAATATGGTGCAGACAGACCTTGTTCCACGCTTGAGCCTTCCTAGCCTGACCCACAGAGGGCCTCCAGATCCCTGCTGAAATTGGGAGTGGCTTGACAAGGACCCCCTGATTTATTTTACCAAAAAATTACAGCTCTAACAAAGTTGATCTCATTCATTGTAGTAGCAAAAATGTATATGCTTTTACCTTCTGCGTCCACATTCCTGATTACTGTGTGCCAGGAGCTGAGAATACACAGAGAAGTCACAGGCCATAGCCTCAAGGAGTTCTTTCTCTGACCAAAGGCACATTTGTGTGGTTAACTTGATGTAGGATGTACTTAGAAAAAGTGTACTCACCAGAGTCTCTTGAGTGCCATCTCATTTCCTGGATCTCTGCTAGGAAACCAGGGACACAGAGACCTGGCTTCTGTCCTCAGGAGTTATAGAATGTAGGAAGACGAGTTCTATTGTGCCAGAAGATGGACATCCCTGTAGAAAAACCATTCTAGATGTTTAGAGTGCCACGAGCTGAGACTGGAAGTATGAACAGGCTCAGTGTAACCCTGGAGGGGATAAAACCTGGTATTGAAGGGTAACAGTGTGGTTAAGGGAGATGGGGGTAAGGTTGTTGAAGGAAGACCAAAATGAGAGCTTGAAGTCAGTTTGTAAAAGACACATAGGCAGACCGAAGGAACTGAGCATTTTTAAGAGCCAAACAAAGGTATGAAAGCAGGATTGACTTAAGATTGTATTTGCAAAAGCACAGTTAGAAGCAAAGATAGACGGAAATAGTGCAGAGATAATGGTGAGGGCAAATGCAGTCTGTGAACTAGTGCAGGCAGAGGTCCCTGCCCCAAATGCAACGGCTGGGAAGTTGCAGCAAGGCAAGAGCCAAGAGAGCTTGAGAGAGCATCACTGCTTCTACTGTATTAATCATGCTCTCCCCTTGGAGCAAAGGGAGGTGAGAATATCTTTTGTAGGGCTATGGCAGTCTCCAGTGCTCCCTCTCCATAACGACAGTGCTTTCTACTCGTGGGTAAAAAAGCTCAAGGAACCGGGGTTGGGGCTCTGTCTGGACTGGTGTCACGGCCTTGAAGGCATTTGACTGTCTTAGATTTGAATCATGAACTTGGGCTCCAGAACCTTATCAGCTCCATAGAACTTTCTCCAGTTTGGAAGGAACATTTTGATGGGTCTCTGCATATAATTGTGGAACTTTTATGTCACAGAGTTTAATTATCTGACCTCCCTTAAAATTTGGGACAATCATTTTTATTATTAACATTTTAGTGAGCGCCCATTCTTTTTTTTTTTTTTTTTTAACTTACTAAACTGGTTTTATTAAGTTGTTTTGGAGATTTGCTGACAACAAAGTCCCCAGCACATTCCAAATTATTATTTTGAAATTGTTTGAAATCAACACTAGATCAAGGAACATGTCTTTATAACTGATTACCTTATTTTTCTCCTGTGGGAATATTTGCCAACTAGAAAAGTTGATAGGCAGTAAAAGGAAACAGGAAAAGACTGTGCATTTCAAATGCTAATTACTTGTGTTTTTCCATTTTTAGGTGAGAGATATGTGATGACATTTTTGAATGTGTTAAATTTTGGCGATCAAGGTAAGATGGAATTGTGTAGCATTTTAAATAAAGATAAATACTGTTAGCTACCTTTATTTAGTAGTTAGTAGAGGAAAGTAATACTGTCCTCTGAAATTTGATACATTTAATGAAAAACTGAACCTGAAATTACTTAAAATGAAGATTATAAAATACAGAGTCCTGAAGACTGAAAAATGTAAGTCTTTGTAAATATAGAGTATACTGACTGCCTGTCTCCTCATGTGTGACTTTGGTGGCAGATTGTCTGTTGAAATCCCCTATCTTACCCTGCTTCCTGTGCTGCTCATTTTAGGTCAGGGGTGCTGAGAGAAGAGAAAAGGAAACTTACCATCACAATCACAAAGATGCACCCCATGCTTGTTTGACTAGATCGATCTCAGTATTATTTTATATAGTTATTTTTACTGTAATCCCAAAACAGTAGAAAGAAGAACAAGAGAAAATCAACTTGGCTTTATTGACCTTTGTTTTAAAAAGTGCTGGTGATAGATTGAAAGGCCCTAAGTTTTGACTGTATCCTGATTGTGATATTGTAGATGGCTTTTCAAGCTGTTACTATTCAGGGAAATGGGGTGAAGGGTAGTTGGGCTTTCTTAATTTTCCAAATGCATCAAATTTATGATCTCAAAAAGTTTAATTTTAAAAATTAGGAAAAAAATTATGTGCGTGAAATTCAAATAGAAAAATGTGTAAGATTGTCCTTCCTTTTTGTTTAATAGGTATATATGATATAGTGAATAATCTTGGCTCCCTTGTGGCCAGATTAATTTTCCAGCCAATAGAGGAGAGTTTTTATATATTCTTTGCTAAGGTGCTGGAGAGAGGAAAGGAGGCTACACTTCAGAAGCAGGTAATCTTGGTTCTATGTCACTGTCTCTCAAGTGAATTCTCTCTCTTAAGTGTAAGGTAAACAGACAGAAATGTGGATCTGCCTATTTCCTTCCTATTAGAGCTAAAATCTTCTTCTAGGGTTCATTATTTTGTCACAATCAAGCAATGACAGGACCCTGAGCGCTTTGCTTTCATGGCCTTCTCCCTTGGTTGGCCCTTCCTTCTCATCTCTTTCCTCTTTGTGACCTTATTCTTGATCCAGTGCTCTCAAAGCTCCACTTGTTCCTAGTACCGCACAGATCCTCTTCCAGTGGCCTAGTCTTAGTCATAAGAATGGTCTAGTGATTAGTAAGAATCTTCAGATTCTCAAGGACCAAAAGTGAATCAAAGGATGCTGAGATTGGAGTGACACTACTAAGGATGTGGCTCTTTCACTCACTGCACTAGCTGTTTAAGCTTCATAAGGACTGAAATACTCAGAGCTACATTTTCTCTGTGTAATTCTACATATTCTGGTTAGTAAATACAGAAAAAGAGATTTAATCCAGAATTTATTTCATTGTAGAAACTTCACTCTAAAACCATTGAAAATATCTGACTCAGGATGAAAATCAAGCTGGGTCAACTTCTATGTCTTAGAAGACACTTTGCAAAATATATTTTCAAAATGAGCTAACATACTTCTCAGTCTGATTTAGGAATCTTTTAAGTGTCTATTGACAGCAACATCAGAATTTTGTGATAGTTATCAAGAGAAGCTCAAGACTAAAGCTAGCTAAAAACTTGTTGTACACTTCAAAGTAGATATTAGAGTTGCACTACTCGAGGCACACATTTTCTTGTGTGAATTTGTTTGCTAATTGACAGGAACAAACATAAGGCTACAGAAAAACAGTGATGGCCCTCACAGTTAAAAGAATGATGTGTAAAACAGCAAAGAGAGGAGGCTAGATGTGCAGATTTTCTTTAGCTGGTGATTCATCCAACTTCCTTCCATCCCCCTGCTCTCCCTCCCCCCAGGAGGACGTTGCTGTGGCCGCAGCGGTTTTGGAATCTCTGCTTAAGCTGGCCCTACTGGCCGGCCTGACCATCACCGTTTTTGGCTTTGCCTATTCTCAACTGGCTTTGGATATCTATGGAGGAGCCATGCTTAGCTCAGGATCAGGTATGCATAAGAGGTTTGCCAGATCTGCTCTAATTTCTGACAAAATAAGAGAGTCTTAGGAAATTCAAGCGCTGTGCACACACAGTTGATATCTGTGTGAGTGTAGGGAAAAGTGGAGGCGGCTAGGCTTTGGGACGGTTCCTTCAGATGCAGCTCAGGGTGCAGCCAGAGACTTTGCTGTGGGTCCATTAGTTCCTCAACCTCACTTGGAGAAATTGGTATAAAGCCTTGGCTTTCCTCTCAGGACTAGAATGTTTTTTGCCAAGCGCTTTCCTGTGCTCCCTCTGGGGTGAGGAAGAAAGGCAGAGAGCGGGCTCTAGTGAGTCTCCCCTTGGTACTAAAAACATCTGAAGACAGTCAACACCACATAAATCTCAGGGGCTAATGTATAAAAACCTCTGAAGGATAACCCAGAGCCATTTACAGGAAGTAAAATTGTTTTGGGCAAATAAAATAGATACTTAATCCAGTGACTCTTTCTGAAGGAGAGAAGTATTGAATGAGTCCAACTTGAAACGCCTGGTGTCAAGGCCACTGAGCATCTCCCAGAACTTGGTAGGCCTTAGGGACTTCACCCGCTGCCAGTGTGCTGAGCTGTAAGCTGGCAGGTGATTTGCAGTGTTCCAGCTTGAGGTTAGCAAAGATGTTTTCAATTCCCCAGTCACCAGACAAGAACCCTGAAGTCTTTCTGCTGCCCTACCTTACTGCAGACAGTTTTTGTCAAATTTATGTATTTATTTTAAAAGATTTATTCATTTATTTATGGATACAGAACTGGGGTACAGGCCAGATGTGAGAGTGGTGAGAGGATTCACCAGCGTTAGAGTGGGAAGCAGAACAGGCAGATTGATCAAGTACACTGGTGAGGGGAGCAGCGGGTGAGACAAGGAGAGGTCTGCTGCACCGTGTGGGTCACCTCCGGGGCAGGAATTGAAGCGTCCATGACCATCTTTGCAGTGCTGCACTTTAACCCATGCACCACCAGGGAGGACCTCAAACGCCATTTAAACCTCCCTGATGTTTTTTTTTTTTTTTTTTTTAAAGATTTATTTATTTTATTTGTTCATACAGAACTGGGGTACAGGCCAGAGGCTCAGGGGTGGCGAGAGGCTTCACCAGAGACAGAGTGGGGAGCAGAAACAGGCAGATCTACGAAGTACACTGCTGAGGGGAGCAGCGGGCGGGTCAGGAGAGGTCTGCCGCGCCATGTGGTCACCTCCGGGGCAGGCGGGAGTCGAACTCATGAGGAAGTGGCTTTAGCTTCTCAGTGCTGTGCATTTACCCGCTGCGCCACCAGGGAGGGCCCTCCCTGATGTTTTAATCTCCACTCTAATGGGCCCAAACTTTTGGTATTAGGGAGGAAAAGGCCAAGTTTCTCCACTAGAGCAAAAGTTATTACGTTGGGAGAAGTACCTGCTGTGAAACCAGTGAAGTGGTTTGCAGCTTCCCAAGGCTTGTGCTGTGAGAAGTACTTTTCCATCAGGCTGCTGTAGTGAGGCTTCATTAGGAAACCATTAGCAAGTTAGTTTGCAGAGACAGAGGATATAACTATTTCACAGCCGCTCTACCCCCTTAGAAAGGTAATCACCAAGCAACAGCCTTTAGTGTATTGGGGTCTCAGGACACTGCCCTGAGGAGAGGCTGTCCATCACTGTAAGGTTCTCCTGGTAGAATAACTCATCACAGGCAATACACAAACTGCTATAATTGTGTCATCCATTTATTCAAGTGAAAGGTGCCAGCTTTGAGCACTGAGAATAGGGTTATCAACTACAAGGGTGGTGTTAGTTGATTCCTAAGGTGTTAAGTTCTGTCTCTAGTGGTTTATGTCATCATCATTAATGTCTGACTCAGAAAGATATGCTCTCAGTCTTCATCTTTAGAGAGAGCAGTCTTAAGAATGGTCTGGTTTCTCAGTCCCTAAAAATAGTACATGGCTTGGTGTTCCACTGTCAGGCCTCTGGGACTGTTGTGACCTCTTGCCTTGGCCAGGGCTCCCTTGGAGTCGCCACCCCAGCAGGGTTTTCTAGCACTTGTCTCATTATGGCTGCTTCTCATTCTGACCATACTTGAGCTCTCGCTAAGGTCTCCTGTGGCTTCCTGGGAGGGTCTCTATGTGTCTGCTGTTGCCCAGTTACATGTTGGTCTTTGTCCCCAACTGTGAAGTGAACTTTCTTGTGATCTGAGTGGCCCCTGAGATACCCCTCCCCGTCTATGCTGGCCTCGCCAAATGTGGGGTTTGTATACAGCGCAGACAGGCTTTAATGTGGAATATTATGGTTTTGCTTTATATTGTTTGGATTAACACTGAATTCAATTTAGGGGCCTTGTAAGTGCTCTAGAGATTTTCTCAAGAATCTTTCTCAAGCTTAGCTTTTCCATCTTTCAGAAAAAGTCACTGAACTTCCTTGAGGTTTCTTACTTTTATCTCTTAGTTTTCTCTCTTGCCCCTTTTCTTTCCTTTTTAAGATCAGTTTTTCTTTATGATCTTATAATAGTTTCCTAGGGCTATGATAACAATTTATGACAAACTTAACAACTTGAAATTAACAGAAATGCACTGTCTCACTGTTCTGGATGCCAGAGGTCTAAATCAAGGTGTCAGCTGGGCTATGCTCCCTCTGACAGCTCTAGAGGAAGATGCTTCCTTGTGCCTTCCAGCCTCTGGAGTCTGCTGCAGTCCTTGGCTTCTAGATATGGGACTCTAGTCTCTCGGCGGTCTTCTTGTATGTCTTCATACTGTTTCCTTCTGTAAGTGTCTTCTCTATGTTCAGATTTCCTTTTTTTTTTTTTTTTTTTTAGTAAGGACACCAGTCATAATGAGGACTTTAATTTGAGACTCTGTAAAGACCCTGTTTCTAAATACGACTGATTTCTGAGGTTCTGGATATGAAGACTTCAACATACTGTTCGGAGGGATATCATTCAAGCTGTAATACCCCTCAAGTCAGTCCATAATTTTAGGTTCCTTCCTTGGATTCCCCAATTTCAAACTCTTTCTTCCAAATTGGCTGGAAGCTGTTCCCCTGGAATTACTGTTTCATGCAAGAGTCTGTGTTTTCTATGTCTCAAAGCAATTCACTAGCCATTTCACATAGACCTACACACGTCATTAGTTTTTGATTTCCGAGTGAGAGGTGCCCCGTTCCTCTCCGCCAGATTGAGGAGGGAGGGAAGTGGGAAGCACATTGGGCATAGCCTCAAGCCATCCCAGGGCACACCCTGTCCCTGCCTCTCTACTGGAATTGTCCTTCAGCTGGGGTGGGGGCAGGACGACTCTGCACTGTAACATAATAAAATGTGGACCCCGTGGGAGGCCACGGAAAACTTTTTTATTGCACTCAGGGCTGCTGCCCTGTTAATAGCCCTCTTACACTTTTGACTGCAGTAAAGCTGTTCAGTCCCCTTGGCACAAGGGTGTTTTATATTAAACAGATTTAATAACCATGAATAAGTTTCAGCTTCTGGAACTTAAATCCTTCCACCCTTTTCTTGCAGTGGTTAAAGTTTTTCTGTATTGAGGTCTAGTTTACATAAAGTAAAATTCTGTACTCTTAAAAGTACCGTTTAATGGGTTTTGACAAATATGTACACCCATGTAACTGGTGTCAAATTAAGATAACAGAACATTTCCGGTACCTCAGAAAGGTCCCTCAGGACCCTTTCCAGTCAGCTGTCCCTCAGAGGCAACCGCCGTTCTGATTCCTATCACTATAGATTAGTATCGCTTTAAAAAGAATTTCATATAAATGAAACCATACATTAGGTATGCTTTTGTATTTGGCTTTTCCCTCAATAGGAAGCTCTTAAGATTCAGTCATGTTTTTCCATGGTTCAATGTAAGTTTTTCTCTTGGATTGCTGAGAAGATTTCTCTTTGTACAGATGGCCCAGTTTGTTTCTCTTTCTTCTGCTGATGGCTGGTTTGGTCTATGAGGAATAAAACTGCTATGGACCTCTTTGTACAAGTGTTTTCATGAGCAGGTGTTTTTGTGTGTATTAATTTATGATGAATTTATCCACGGGAGTGAAATTGCTGGGTCATAGGTTGTCTGAATATTTATTTTACTAGAAATTGCTTGGCTGCCTTTTGATAAAGGCCCTCTTTAAGAGGGGATCCGCCCCATCTTTGAGGCTCTCAGTCTTCTGTTAGCAGATTTTTTCAGAGCTGTGTAGTTAACTATAGAACACCAATACTTTGAATTAGAAGAAAACATACAGACTCTGATTCTCCTTGCAGATTTGTGGGTTTTCTGTCACTCCATTGCTTCTGGCTCTGGGGCTTTCCCAAAAGGTGTTTTCTGCAGAAGCTGTTCAACTTAGGTTCTCAACATATAGGGTCACTGGTGTCTTTGGGTGGTCAGGCTGACCAAAAAAGTGAGGATTATTTGCTGGCAGATAACTTTTAGTTGTTAAGCAAAAGGTCTGTACATTTATTCATAATTATCCTTTTGTTTTTAGCTATTTATTTTGGTCATTGCCATGGAATGCTGGGAGGCCTTACAAATAATTAAGACTATAGGCTCCAGCATGTGTCTGCCATTGACAATGGCAGTAGGGCTCATGACCCAGTCCTGATGTTCTCTGAGAGCCAGGCTGAACTGGGGATGCATGTGTATCGCCTGTTTGGGCTCTGGAGTCTTGGATCGTTTTCTTGCAGGTCCTGTTCTGCTACGTTCCTATTGTCTCTACGTCCTCCTGCTTGCCATCAATGGAGTGACTGAGTGTTTCACGTTTGCTGCCATGAGCAAAGAGGAGGTTGACAGGTGGGTAACTTTAAAGATACACCCTTACTCAAAATGAAGTAACTTGCAGATCTTCATTCTTTCATTATGGACTTGGATTTATAGAAGGCTCTCTTAAGAGCTAACACCTGGACCACTATTGTGGGGTGCTTGGCCCAGGCACACGTTAGTTAGTCTTCTCCACCATAGGGCTTTGCCTCCGCTTTGTGGAGGGAGAAATCTGGGTCCTAAGGGTGATGTTTGTCCAAGTTTGCAAAGGCAGGCACCAGACAGACTGGCCCTCACTCCTCCACCTGCTTGCTCAGTGCTGTGGCAGGTTACCAAGGAGCTTCTTAGAGATGCAGAGTCCTACCCCGAGAATCTATGACACATTTCCTCAGAGGAAGGCCCAAATGCACTGACACATTTCCTCAGAGGAAGGCCCAAATGCACAGACACATTTCCCACAACTTTCCCATCTGTTGACTCCAGATCAGAACCTTTGTCCTAAACCTCAGGCAGGAGTTCATACCACTTATGAATTAGAGACCCCCATGAAGCTTGTTAGGAAAGCATATTTCCATCCTCCTCTCTATTCTTCCATCCTACAGAGCCAATGGGCCCTTGTAAACATGCATATTTTTAAAAGTTCACAGTGATTCTGACATGAACTTCTGGTTATGACTTTCTGACCAGGATCATCCATCTTGTCCCAAATGCCAAAAAGTACCAAGGCAGTATCTTAAGATATCACTATAGCATGATGTTGAGAAGGATAAGACCAATAAGGAAGGGAACAGAGAGGAAGACATAGTGGTGAATAGAAGAGGTGGGTGTAGCTAATGAGAAGCATCACCCTTGTAACCCTCTGTCCCTTAGGCTTTGGGGCCCCTAGGTTGCGATACTGCTTTCATTGCTCTGAAAGCCCTCAGAGATAGGTTGGCGCGGCATGGTGAAGGGGCAGCTCAAAGAGTTTAGAGCATTTAGAGCAGCCTCTGTCTGCTTCCCATCTTTGTCTGTTTCACTGAGAAGCTCAGTGATTTTGCTTGCTAACCTGTCCATAGGTGCAAACTAGAGTCTGGGGCAGTGGTCTCACACGTGGCTTTGGAAATAGCCACGAGTATAGCAGTATACTCCATTCAGTCATAGAATTCAAAGAGCTCTAGGGATACAGAGAGTACAAGGATGGGTGTATAAGAGTCTGGAAAACACCCAAGGTAATTCACACCTTACTCCCTGTTTACATTTCAACTTGAAGACCTGTCTACTTACTTTGAGGGAGGCCGGTAACCAAGGTTACAGGGCGATTTCTCATAGGGAGCAGTGATTAGGGACCAGGAATGAGGTCGGAGTGTCAGCTCACTCCTCGGGCCCTACTTTGCTTATCTCTCTCTCCCCAGGTACAATTTCACGATGCTGGCCCTGTCATCTTCATTCCTGGTGTTATCCTATCTCCTGACCCAGTGGTGTGGCAGCGTGGGCTTTATCTTGGCCAACTGCTTTAACATGGGCATTCGGATCACTCAGAGCCTTTTCTTCATCCACGGCTACTACCAAAAGACCCCCCATAGGCCACTGGCCGGCCTGTACCTGTCTCCGGCCCTCCTGGGAACATTTGCTCTCAGTGGTGGAATAACTAGTATTTCAGAGGTGAGATGCCCTGCAGCTTTTGCACCAAATGCTTCTGCAAACTTTATTAGCGCACGCTCTAGGTACCTCTTGCTGGGTTGAATGAACCAGCTGGACAAATGTATGCCTCCTTCCCCCACCGCCACCCCCAGGTCTCTAGGACAATATCTTTTTTTTAAAGATTTGTTTTATTTATGCTTGAGCTAGGGTTTAGGTCAGAGGTGTATGTATGTGTGTTGGGGGGAGGGGGGGCAGGAGCGGGGCAGGGTGCTAAGAAGTTTCACCAGAGACTGAGTGGGGAGCAGAACAGGTGGATCCACTGCTGAGGGGAGCAGAGGGTGAGACAGGGGAGGTCTGCTGCACCATGTTGGTCGCTCCCTGGCCAGGGATTGAACTTGTCTGCAGTGGCTATGGCATGCTTCATGGTGTTGAGACTTAACCACTTGTGCCACCAGAGAGGCCTAAGACAACAACTATGGGATAATCACCTGTGCCACCAGTGGGAACAGAATAGACCTGATAACTGCCATCTTCTTTTCTGACTTGAAACTGGAGTGACAGCAGCTATGCTTTCTGGGCTGCCCTGGGGAAGGAGGTGCTGACCCAGGGGCCAGGCAGTGATGATGGTTTCTTTCCCCAGGTGTTCCTCTGTTGTGAGCGGGGCTGGCTGGCCAGGCTGGCGCACATTGCTGTGGGGACCCTCTGCTTGGGCGTGACTCTCGGGACAGCATTCCTTACAGAGACCAAACTGATCCACTTTCTCAGAACTCAGTTAGTTGGGTCCAGACTCCCTGACAAAATGACGTGACCTCAGGGATGCATTGAAGCCTGTGGCAGCTGGACTAGCCTTGGGCAGTTTTGTGATGGAAGATATGTTCTGTGCCAAAGAGCCCTACTGACGAACCTACAGTGGAGTGAGACCAACCCAGACAGTTGCATCTTGGAGAGGACTACAGACCAACACTTACCATCCATTTGCAATCAGGCGGAAACATGAAGGAGGAGTTCCATTTTTTAATGGAAGACCAAAAAACTTTCTTTAA